TATGAGATATATATAAAGGTGAGAGTAATTAGAAACTGCGTCCATTTCGGATACAATTAGAATCAGAATGGGTTAGCATTAATTAAGTTATGAAAACTTTTGTTTTGTCTGCAGACAACATAATTAACTGTATTATTGTATGCGTTCCAATGTAGATTATAATAATATTTATAGCCTGTATTAACTATATTATAGTCTGAATCTAATCGAAACTTTCTTACACACCCCTTAAGAGACAAATAAGAGATTGTATCTTCATATATAAACATTTTGTATTAAACAAAACCAAATCTTCAGATAGGTATATCGAGGGACCCGATATATGAAAGGTAACTTAGGGGAGCTTTTGTTTTATATTGGAAGATAAGAGAACTAGTTAGCTGACTAGAAATACAATCGTTGCCAAAAATGATAAAGTAACCATACAGTTTAAAGCTATTGTTCTTCAACATTAATTTTATAAACCAAAGGTTCGATTCGTTAGTTGATGAATCATTTTTAGCGCAGATTATAACAATAATAAATATAAGCTTATAGCAATTGGCTCATCAGCTCACTATACGTCCCCACCGAGGGGCTCTGAGCCTACCCTAAATCAAGAGTAACTAGGCCATAGTCAACCACGCTGGCCTAGTGCGGGTTGGTTGACTTCACACATATCATTGAATTTCTTCTCCGTTATGTGCAGGTTGCACCACGATGTTTTCCTTCACCGTAAGAACGTCGGATAAATGTACATATGTAAATCGAAAAATACATTGGTACATGGCGGGATTCAAACCCAGGACCTACAGATTGCAAGTCAAGTGCTTGACCCCTGAGCCACCGACGCTCGCATTATAGCAATTGGGCAGAGAGAAATCAAGAAGGGCTCAAGACCAGTTGTGTCGAATTCAATATTGAATATATTAAACCATTTATACAACTAAATATTAAAACATGCTGTCATGTTTTTAGATCATGTTCTAATTTGACATGAACTACCGAAACCAGCTTGTTATATATTCAGAAAATGACAAGCCATCCCCTAAAGTTGTACAATCTGATTCCAATGCCGTAAATCAGGAAGACCGGGTATCGGCGATCCCTTCGGAAGGCTTTTCGTGGTTTGTTCAATATAGCAATTGAATTAACAGTGATTTTCGTTGTACTAAAAATATATTTAGTAACATATTTCAGATGTCAAAGGTTTTAAAAAGTTGATCACGTACAAACGTGGGCAGAACTGCCACAAAATAAACGAAGACGATGATATAGTAAAGGTTAGGTAAGGTTGACTGACTGAAGTCGCCTTTTGTAACAGGTAAATCTGTGAAATAATAATAAAAATACTTTATAGCTATAGCTAGGGTAGCTGAAAACCAGCTCGACACTGGAATCTGACCGGTGTTGGCAAAGCTGAGCCACGCCCTTTTGCCAGCACTGTTTCTGAATAACTGCGCGTTGTATAACTTTGTTAAGTTTTTTATGGCAATAAAGTTTATTATTATTATTTTTTTAACAATATTGTTAAGTTTAAAAATAGCATACCAACAAATTAAGAACCTTCTTTTTAATATTAAAGACTATACACACAACTTTTTGAATAAATTACGAAGAATAAACGTTGGATCAAAAGCTGTATTCGTATGAATAATGTAAATGCAATTTTCTAACATCCTATTTCTTGGAGACGGAGCGTACTTCATACATATCTGTTGTTTAATGTTTTTAATGTCACATTAGCGTATTTTAGTCATACTGACAGGACAACAAGGTTTTAGATTTTATATCTATATATTTAGATACATGTCCGTTACCGTTCCATATTAAGGTACGCGTCCATTTGCCCACGCCGCACGGATTAAATAGATTTGTTATGTCTTTCGATGCGAGTGGCGCGGATGACGGACGCAGCGGTATATCAAATCATACAAAGCAAACTAAAATCCGTGGCGGGCCGTGCGTGCGTTGCGTCTGGCGCGGGTCAATGGACACGTACCTTTAAAGGTTATGATGAAGTGTCATTCAACCTGTCTCTTGCAAGACTACCAGAATAACTCATTATTTATATTTTCTCCTAAGGAGACATAAATATGTTTATAAATAGGTAGTTGTAATAAATCATTATTGGGTTACTTTGACATACAGCTATAATAACTCAAGGATATTTATATTTTTTCCTTAAATATTTCCTTTTGTATAGGAAATATCTTTGTAGCTCTATGTACTCTTACATACTATAACATAATAATCCAAAGTTCAATGACCGTAGCCAGTACAAATTATGTATGAATTTCAATAATCGAATTCGAACCCACGACCATCAGTTCTCCGTAAACTTAACTTGAGCTATTAAAGGTTAAATATTACGATTACATCAGAAAAGTATTTTGAAAATTAGTGACGTCAAAATAATTAAAATGGCAGCCATTAATTTAAGCGGTTTAACACCAAAAGTATTATAATAGAGAGGTTGTTTAGACCTGTCGCAAACAGCTAAATGTGTACTAACATTTCCATTAAGGGTCCTTTCATATTTTAATTATAATCACCCCTTTACGGTTTCGATTGATCGGGGAACACTTTTGTTAACGTGGCTTTTAACCTTTAATATTAAAAAGTGACATAACAAAAAAATAAAACTTACTAGCTGTCGCCAGCGACTCCATTAGCGGGGAATTAAAAAAAACTCAATACGTGGTCTATGTGTTCTTCCATACTATGTTCCATATTTATGCCAAATTTCATCGAGATCCATTAAAATGGTAATAAAACCGTTAGCATTTTTAACATTGTCATATTTTCAAAGTTATTTTTATTTACTATACAAGTGACTTTCCTGTTATTTTTCTATGTTATCGTTTTTCTGACATAGACCCTTTGCGCGAAAATATGTTAATGAACGTTGAGAAAAAAACCATATGCAATTTCTTTTTATTTTATCACGCAAGCAAAAAGTAGGTCACTACTGTGTCAACTTAATCTTTAGAAGTATTTTATTTTTACACATGTTTATTTTAAATTATATTACAAATTAACATCACACTTAGAAAAAGTGCATTTTTAAATATGTTAGAGTAAACTTATACTTATATTTTAACTCAATTACTTATTTGTGTATTTACTCGTTAACTTAGTAGCAGAGGATAACTGAGATTTCGTTGGGGATAGATATTTTATTATCTTTAATCAACTAAGCTTTTAAGTTTTATTTATTAACTTATAATGTCTTTTCTATCTTATTTGACATGAAATATGCGATTTCGCAGCAATCGATTGCCCTTATCCATGTTTCTATAACGCCAATCAATTTTACCTCCTCGCACTGAAAGAAAACGCCGAATTCCTTCGAGACCCTGTTAACAAATTACTTGAGGTTTCTTCACACCCTTTACAATTAAGATTTTGTATGTCAAAAACTATACTTTGAGATGATTAGTAATAAATAGATTCGGTCATCAATATATGAGTCTCTCTTATATTCATAAATCTTATATAATTAAGACTTAACTTCTTTTTACCATTTGGTTAACAGAACAGGCTTTATGAAAGTGAATCTATTCTTTAAAAATTCCCGTATATTTGTACTTGACCTTGATCTTTAAAATTTTGAAATATAATTTAATGTTAGCTATTTTTAAATATCTCGCTTCGGTCTGATTTCTTACCCGTTTTAGTAAAAGTAAACCATTTTAATAACCTAAGAAAATAATTTTGAAATATTACATTGAACTTTAGATTTATAAACATACTCGGAACTGTCAACGAACTGTCAAGGACGCCAATTTTTGACAGTGACAAAAACAAACAACAAAAAAGTCGTAAATGATAAGGGAAATTATTTATTTAACAGTAAAATAACTATAAATAATATTTATTTCATAAAAGTTCATCTATCTATATTACATTAGTATCCTATTGTCAACCAACTTTACAAAAATGTATTAAAACGATCGATATGAAGAAAAATAAACATTACAGTTACAGTTACATTCCATTAAATACTGAAGGGTAAGTATTTAAAAACTTTTTCTCATTATAAAATAGAAAACAATGACAACAGTAATTAATTTATGTTTATCGTCGTGCGTGCAAAATTTTTTACTCAAGTCACACTTCTCGCTATTGACTAGTACGACCCAAATAAATACATAAACAGTCTGTAAACCAAAGTGATTTTAAATGTATGATTTTTATACATTTCTTCCAATTTTCAACTGTATTAAGTATACTAATAGATAAACACCTATCTTATGCCAGCGGCCAATTTATTTCTTATACACCAAGTCATTAAAAACAAATAATCTACCGATCAATAAGTTCACCTGTCAATTTATACCTTCTTTCTCCTCGTAAAAGCTAGTATATCCTAACTGCTTGTTACCCTCATACATAAAATATTTGAATGTCAAATTACTTATACAAAAAATTGTACTCACTCTCTTTCTCTTTAAAAAATACTAAAAAGATGTTTGTACATACTTTTTTGGCAGTGAAAACATTAGTCATTTGATTGTGCAAACACTGAATTGTATGAATATTAAACAGTGAGGCTGTTGTGGTGAAGACACAATGGACACAGAATTATTATTAATATGACTTTTGTTGTTACTATAATAAATGTAAATGTTAAACTTCATCTTACTTCCTGCCTTGATATTGTACCATCTTTTAAATGTAACACATTCAATGGGTAATTTCGTACTATATTTTTAATTTCCCGATAAAGGATAAGGGCATAGCCAAAACAAGATGTATAAATGTTATTCTGTGTCTTCTAAAGAGTTAACTTTCGAAGAATGTAGATATTGTAAGAGAATATTCCTCCGGTTAATGCAAAAGTTTCAAATCAATAGTTCCAAATTAAATTTAATTAAGTTTATTAGGATCATATAAAAAGAAAATAGAGGCCAGGATTTATTATAAACTTTTTTACACACCATAATTTCATTGTGAAGGACAATATTATGAAAATGAACTGCTGATTTTCATTGAAAAATTACTATATATATTCCTAATATTAAGAAGAAGGGGATAAAGTAAAAATAATATTACATGTATGGACATAGATTGTGGATGTGAACACAGTATTAGTTATATGTCCAAATGTTCATGTTTTTACTGTAATAGATGGCGCTAGTAAACATAAAAATCGATACGTAAACACACGCTCGGGGGGGGGGGGGGGGTGAAGCTAAGTGCATTCGCTCCGAAGCGATTCCGTAACGCCGTTCCCTAACGCTATATCGAAAGCTGATTTCGATTAGTTAACAATGTAACACGTGGGATTGGACAAAGTTTAGAGTTTAGCAATCGTTTTATACATTATTACGTTCGACAATATTACGTTTTGTCTACAGTCTTTCATCTTTAAAAGAAAAAAATGTCGAATTGTGTTGCCACTGTCAGTTAATAAATTCTTGACATACGAAGATTTATTACGAAAAACAAAAATATTCGGTAAGTTAAAAGTGTAGGATTGAAATAATTGATAAAAAAGTAGATTTCAAATAAACTATTAGTAAAACTTTTCACAATACTTTGCGTAGTAACTTTAGTGAACGAAATTTTAGCAATGGAACCTAGACAACGGACAAGTGGAGTGCAGTTCGCGGTGATGCTTGAATTCATGGAAAGGTAAAAAATAAATGTATTATAGAATTTATTTAATAAATAACTTAATGTTTTTGTCGCTTTTTGTAAAAGTATGAACCGTTTCTAAAGCAATTTTTTTCAGACACGGCGACCTTAGTAAGCCTGAGTGTGGGCTACAAGGTCGCCATAGGTCTACACTCCTCTGGGAGGAGCTCGCCCACACGTTAAATAACATTAGAGGAGGCGTGAATAAGTCTCCCGATAAATGGAAAAAGGTACTTAAACCTAAACAAGTCTTATACAATCGCTTGTCCACCTTTTACGTTACCTAAGAATTTTAACTTAAATCCATTTTAAGGTATGGGCCGACTGGAAATCAAAGACTAAAAAGAAAACGTTGATGATTTGTCGCCAAAAAAATGGCGGAACAAACAGGGTAGTCCTAACGCCCATGGAGGAGAGGCTGATGGCGATGGTAGGAGAATTGACGGTGCAAGATCTCTCGGATGTTGAGGAGCAATGCTTCAATGTTAGTTTGAATTGATTAATAATAATAGTAAATTTCTGATTTTTGATTAATAAAATATTTGCTTTTGTAACAATTATTATAATACTACGAGTGTAATTTTGTAAATGTTGGTATAATTATTTTGAGTAAAATTCCTTTTTTATTCTCTTTATACAGATCACACCGACTATCGAAACAGGTATGTATGAAATTTATTAGTTTTGTAATAGTTTGTTAATTATAAAAAGAATGTTGAAATGGCTGCTTTTTTATTGATTTAATCACTTTAGATATGGTCTCCACTAGTCAGCAACCGTGTCCAACTCTACCGTCGCCCCAGTGCTCTCCGCCGCACCCTGCTGCAGCGTCCACGCCGCCACTGCCTCAACACCAGACCACAGTGACAATATCACCGATGCCTTCTTTGACATCCCCACCGTCTCATAGTGACGACGCGTCGCCTCCGCGCCGCCACTCCGGCAATTTGTCGAAAGTGGATGCCCGTCGAAGACGAGCCATTAACCGAGCGCCAACCGAATTCGCGGCGATTGAAAGGCGTCGCTTGAGATTAGAGGAGAAGCGGGTGAGGAATGAAACCAGAAGATTAGATATAGATGAACAACGTTTAGATATAGAGAGGCAAAGAAATTTTTTGTTAGAGCGAGTAGTAGATATTGCTGACGCTATTTGTCAGCAGTATCTACCTCAATAACGACGCGACGGCGACGGTTTATCATCTCGTTAACTTCAACAATGTAAATTAAGTAATTTTAAACCCACATTGCTTATTATTATGTTTTAACGATTTTAATTTTTAAAGGATAGATAATGTACATATAAATGTAAATAGAATATATTAAAATGTACATGTATTTTTATTTACAATAACAATGAACCGATGACCAGGTTCATCATAGGCCTTCCTTGTATAAGTTCACTTTGGTTGGTTGTAGTTTGTAAGACTGTTGTAGACCCGTGGGTTAAAAGTGATGCCACAAATCACCAAGTGGTGACTTCTTAAAATTCTGCGTAACTCTAATCGAATAACACAAATTACGATCCCCAGATACGAGTTCCAAACCTTGGTTTCATGTTAAAAATAACGGTCTAATAAGCCAAAGTTATAAAAAGGTAAACAGATTTCTCTCTTAAACTGCTTACCATTTGAACATTTTATGACTGACCTTTCCTATTAAAATGAGAGTGCTCATCGTGTGCTGGCTTCACGATGGCGATATGTGTGTTCAATGCATCCTTTACCCCCGGCAAAATGTAAGTTGTTAATAATGAAAAAACAAATGTATTTAATTTCTTTTTAATTAATTGTGCGATACATAGCCAAATAACTGTAATAAATTTAAAAAGTTATAAAACACCTAAATTATAGTACCCATTTCTTCTTTTACTTTTATAACAAGATCGCTTCTCGATAGTTCACAGTTAATCGTTGAGCGCGACAGTTCGATACTATGACAACTGTCAATTACGTACATTAAACGTCATACAGAATTAATTCGGTACTTATTAAGCGTCTTTTGTCAAACTAATCTATATTAAATAGACACACTATAGCATTCGCTAACCTTTCTATCATAACAATCGCTAACTAGTGATATTGCATGTCGAAACAAGCAACTTGTCTACGCATTGTTCGACATTGTAGGACGTATGTTCGCTAAATTGTCGATTCGTTTAATGGAATAGAATATGTTCATTGTCTCGCTACTTTCGATTCGCTAACTAAAGAACACGTGACTTATCGAAAGCTATTGTCAGTTCCATAAGGACTTCGTTATGGAATTGCTTCGGAGCGAATGCACTTTGTCTAACCTTCCCTGTAAGAACTATTTAAAATGAAAGCCTCCAGAATCGCGCGGTTAACGGCTAAGCGGAAACAGGCACTAAATCTTCACGCTATAAGCAATGAATGCTTATCGCAAAACCTCAGTCAAGGTTTGTTATTTGTGTACAACAAGAATAATTTCTTAGTATAACTGTGTAACGAAATAATCGTGTAATTGTATGATTTACATATAAGATTAGAAATTGCTTTAAGTTTTGATAATATATTCGGAAAGCAAATACTTACGTAATTGCGAAACGACGAGAATATTCAGCTTTAAGGTTTTATTATTAATTATTTATTGACGTTCCCAATTAGGTAACATTTATCATGCAAAAGAATGGGCATGGTGTAAGGAATTTCTATTCATGATTTAAACTTTAAAAAAATTCTTATAGATAAGTTACAAGTTTTAATAGTGGACAACCAGTAAAGAGGCAATATAGGTGTCTACATTACCGTGTGTTTCCAAGTCCAAATGTCCCGTTTAAAACATATTGTTATCTCTGTTTTGTTAAAGACGAAAAACAAGGATGACGATACATTTTACACAGAGATTTTGTTGTCAGAAAACCACGGTCAAAAATGTTAATACTTCCATCACGATAATTGATTGATCAATTTGAACACTGATAAAAACTTGTTTTATCAAAGTGTTGCGACGAAGTCTTATGTATATGTTCGGTAAGTCGTACACCAAATGAATGACGGTTAACAAAACATCGCGTTTGGAACGTCATGTTATTACGAACATTACACATTAGCAACAGTAAACAGCGAGGTCGTTTAACAGTAACAACCGGGCCGCATGCCCATTGTTGTACTTCCCTCGAAACGTTAACATTTTCACGTGTCGTCTGCGGCAATGTCAACATGCAGGCAAGTGGGGGTGTTGGTCGCGTGAGTGGGTGATCAGTCGGTCTCCGCGAGTGAGAGGCGCGGGCGTCATACACCGATTCGCCGGCCTCGCAAAACGACTTTCGGTAACAAAAATAACTTTATTACGTCAAATATAAAGTGCATTATCCATTGGTGATAACAGTGTCCCGTGTAGATTTGTGATTGTAATAAAATGACTGAGGACAACACTATGAGTGATGATTTGAAACGTCAAGCTGCTATGTTTTACAATTCAACGGAAAGGTTAGTTTCGGGATCTAGACAATCAGCCACGTTCATGTTTTTATATCTATTCATATCGTTTTCACAGAATTCAGAAGCGGAAATATTAATATGCAAATACACAACTTGTTTTTATCCAAAATTTATCGCGCTTCGTTTAACGTTGTATAATTTAAGAGTTATATGTAAATCTCGATTTTAAAAACATTGTAAATAGCATTTACTTTTATAATCCATCCACAATTTTTGCTTACATTACCTATCCTGGTGGCAGTCAAAACACTTTTGACACTTGTGCACAAATGTTCTTTCCAAAACAACCTTTGGCTCACTTCGCCTGTACTAAACCAAAACACGATTATACAAACTTATCCTATGATAATATATAAATTTCTAAACATGTTACTTGAAGTTTAAGTTCGCTCATTAACGAAATGTTACGGACTTAACAAAGACACTATTCATTATTAAGAACGACTTATTGTCAATTCTATTCTCTCAAGGGTGTATGTCTAATAGCATATATACCAAACGCAGGTTCACAGACAGTTAAATTTCTTTTATTACTCGCTTGTTGTTACGCGAGTTTATTGCTTAATAAAGTTCACTTTGATGGCTAGAGTGCATGTGTTACCTAAACATAGAGCTTGAATGTTGCTATCGAGTCCTTTATTCGAATACGTACTTAATTTTTGAGGTTATTTTGAAATTTATTGATTTTCGCGTCTCGATTATATCGCAAACGTGTTTCCGATATTATCAATTTAGTATTGCAATTGATAGAAAGTTGAACGTTTCTGTTTTAATGAACAAACCTTAAATACGTTAACCCGTTAAATTCTTACTTTATACCAATATATTTAAATCCGGAGATTGCTGGAATGGACCAGCACGACTTGGGAAGTACAACTCGACGTATACCGCCAGGCCTGACGCGTCTCTTTTAACAAATTAATCTGGTAAGATAGATATTTACGTTGCTTATCCTATTTTGTGCTGAAAATAAAGTCTGACAAAATTGAGTAATGCAAATCTTTAATGAAAAAGTATGTTGTTTGCATTAATCGATTATTTAAACTGAACTGACTAACACAAAAATAAAATTATGACACAAAAAACAGAGCCATAACAAAAATAAAAAATATATTTAAAATACATTAAGCAATAAAGCATTATGCCGTAATAATCAACACGCTTTGAAAACAGGTAGCATTTAAAGGTCGAAGGTATATATAACTGAAACATCGCATTGCGCAAATATTTGACCAACTAGTTTAATTGACCAAACATAATTATTATATTATAAGGACTGATAACATACAAATCGTCTATTTTAAAAAGAAATAAATATGATTATCTTTCAATCCCAACAGATGTCATATAATAACTAGCGGTCATCCTCGATTTGATCAGGAAAAATTAAAAAAAAAAGTAGCCTACAATATGCCCGTTTACATCTACTACCTTCCTGTCCAGTCCCGTCAAAATCTTTATGAAGTAGAGCATTTTTGAAGCCACCATCACATTAAACCAGTAATAGGTGATTAGTTTTAAACATTACGAGATGATTTTTTTCAATTAAATTATTTCAATGTCAATCTTTAAATCTTTTCATGCAGTTCTTACTAAGCTCAGCTACTAAAGTATCGTGACTTCGTTAAGTTATTAGCTAAAGTTTATCTTATATAAAATTCTCGTGTCACAATTTTCCTTCCCATACTCCTCCGAAACGGCTTGACCGATTCTCATGAAATTTTGTAAGCATATTGAGTAGGTCTAAGAATCGGCCAACATCTATTTTTAATGCCGCGCGGACGGAGTCGCGGGCGACAGCTAGTTCTAAGATAAAGTTACTCCCACTTTCACCTTGTATATTCAGTGATGCATATTTCCCACTGAGTCTTCCCACGTAACGCTTCACGGTACGTGGGCTCCCTCATCTAATTAATTCATTAAACAGCAATCAACATTTTATATGTTTTAAGCAACTTTAAAAAAATATTTATCAGATTATCAGGTTCATGAACTCAAGGACAATAGAGCCATCAAAGACAACTGTAAAAAAAAGTTGTAAAGAAACGCTAGTTATTTCTCACTGGCCAGTATTTCTTATAATTCTCTCATTTATAAACAAAGCTTCTAGGGCTTTGCTTTTATTATGTGATTTGCAGGGTCTTCGCTATCACGAAGCAATTTATCAATATCGCTCGAAAGATCTATTATTAAGGAGTCTATTCCCACAGGCAATTACTTTGCCATCAACTTCCTAATGGTCTTACTATCTCCGGATATCATTGTCTTTGACCCTCGTCTGTTGTTCATTTTTATTTAGCATCCCATCAATTTGAGGTTTACAAAAGACAAGTTTAATTAATTTGTTTAAAACAGGAATTTTTAAACATTTTTGAGACATTATTATAAATAAAAAAACGGCTACACTAACGTACACTTTATCTGGTTTCGGTACTGTCTAGTTTCAATACGAATTGAACGACATCTCACTCCTCAAAATTGTTTAATGTACCAGGATATTATAATAGTACAGCACATATTGCATACCGACGAAATACAATCTTACTAATATTATAAATTCGAATGTTTGGATGGATGGATGTTTAAGGTATCTCCTGAACGGCTGTATGAATCTCGCTGAAATTTGGCACTACTTAAGTTCTTTTTTTAATAACGCGCGGACGTAGTCACGGGCGACAGCTATTATCTAATAATTCAGACAATTAAAATAATTTCGTTCAAAAAAGTGATTTCTTTTAGATTCCATAGTTTATTTACCTTCCATTGCAAATCAGTTATCTGTTAATACTTAACGTTTATAAACAATACAATTGACTTACAGCGATTTATTTGTGAATATAATAGTTGTATGCATTTTTAAGAGATCACATGATGTCTTGACCTTTACGACAGGAAAATTACTTTTTAAATAAAATGCACAACGAACAAGATTGATGACATCAAGAATAATAGAACATAATTTATACAACAAGCTAATGTCTTCTTCGTCTTATGCTTTTGAGAGATTTATCAGATTCTAGCATATCCAGAACAAACAATTGGAAAATGCAATTTATAAAACCAGATTAGATTAGAATACGTCCTATATTGCATACAACGCAATCAAATAAGGCAGTTTATATTAATATCCATTTAATATCGAAGATTTCCGTCTTATTAGCTTAGGATATGTTTGAGGAGGGTATCTATTGGCACACACAATAGTGGAGTTTATTCATATACGTCGGATACGTGACCGGGGATTCGCTAGGCCGATATAATTTGTTTTCCGCTGTTCTTTCCACGTCATATATAATCTATTCAGTTGTATATATGTAAAGAATGACACTTTTACGCCCCGTGACAATGTCCAATCAATCAATCAAAAGCGCCAATACTCAATGGTTTAGTATAAGGATTTCCGATCATAAGGTCGGGGGTTCGAATCCCGCTATTCGACTATTGTACACCGTGTAGCACAAGCATAAAGCTTAGTTGGAATGGTACAAGAAATATTAATTAATTTATAAAAATCTGCTAATATTTTGATTTAAAAAATCAAGTTCAATCTTAAGTTCCTACGCAAAGATAAAGAAGTAAAGCTTTCAAAAAAGGAATGAGGATATATTCTTTGAGAAATTATTACGGATATGTGCATTGAGAATTATTTAGATTTAAACCAAATGAATTTGATGTATCCATAATAACTTAATGCCAATCTATAGCGATGATTGTAATCTCTGTGTTGCCGCATGCCTACATCCGGCTAAGGTTAACGAACCAGTTTTTATAAGTTAAAGAGAGGACAATACGATATACTGACAGATGATCTTTGATGGCTCACACAAAAACCTATAAAAAAATACCATTATTAATCTTCAAAGCGGGTACAGCAATATATTGGAGCCAGTTGCTAAGTCAGATATATCGAAATATAACGTGGGCGACATAAGGAAAGGATAATAGAAGGGTGCTGCTGTTAAAAAACACTGTCTTTCCACCACTATTTAACATCAGGTAATAGTTGATTTATTTATGAAAACAGGCAATAACAAATTAAGTTTTTTTCGATATTAGAAATTAAATACTTTACAACTAATGTCTTTAGTCGTAGAAATTTAACCCAAAATGGAATTGGATTGAAAATTTATAAGTATTTCATTTTTTACGGATTGAAGATTTAATCATATCCGTATAAATTATAACGCATTAAAAAATAAAGCATGTTTTAAAACAATAAATAGTTGGCATCGCATACTCACAAGTGATATAGCGAATGTTATATCGAATAGTCCACTATCATCAAGTTAACACTTTCAATACTGAGTAACAATGTTGCAATGTTAAACATTTTTTGGGTAAAGAAATAAAATCTTCAATTATACGAACTGTCACGTCATAGTCAAAGTGAAAGTAATATACAGAACCTCGTTTTTTTTTCCTTTTACCCGCGTTTCTCAAGTAATTTGATTAGGAACTTTTGGAAGTGTCGCTGCGTCGGACTTCGCATCGGCCCGCTTTACAGACGCACGTACTATAGTTAAATTACATTCAGAAAGTTTGTTTATTTGCACCATTCATAAGGTTGATAAGATTTCAAGAATTCTCGTGGTCCTTCTATAATCTTGTTGAGGAATAAAATCATGATTAAACCTAAAAACAGTTAGGTAATGTTATATTTATGATTAAAATTAATTTCAGCATTTCAAAAAGAAAACTATTCTGCATAAAATTTCATCGATTCATAATATTTTAAAATTCCTACACGTCCAAGCTTATGTAATAGTGGGTTATTTTATACAATTGAAGATTCCGCCTCTCTTGTATTCATGCATGTTTAAAATGATTATATCAAAACCACGTTTCATTGAACACGTTCATCGTGTGTGCATCAGAAGTGAAAACACTAAACACCTTGATTTAGTAATAAAATTATTCAATTGTGTTCCGTCCCCAAATCCACTTCTATCGCCGATCGACCGTTGACCGGTATACCAAACTAATAACGT